GCGATGAACATAGTCGTCGATAAAAGTCTTCATCCATCGTCGGCAATTTACCTTGCGTTGGTAAAAGTCATTCAAATATGATGATTGTGTGGCACTTTTCGCGACACAAATTTACATGGGCAAAAGATATACTTTTAGCAACAAAATATGCGTCGGCAAAAGTAAACTTTTGACAACACATTTACGTCGGTAAATGTTGTCATTTGCCTACGATTTGTTTGTCGATAAAACTTCACTTTTGGCAACGACAAATTAGCATTGGCAAAAAATACACATTTAGCAACACAATATGAGTGGGTAAAAGTAAACTTTTGGCAACACATTTACGTCGGTAAATATAGCCATTTGCCGACGATTTGTTTGTCGATAAATGTTTACGTTTGGCAATGACAAATTGACATTGGCAAAAAATACACTTCTAGCAACACAATATAAGTGGGCAAAAATAAACTTTTGACGACATATTTACTAACAAAAATAATTGAAAATAATTTATATATTTTTATAAGATTTACAGATTTACAAGAGGCATCCCTCAGGCACCACTATTACAAACTAATAACATTGATATGAAATCACCTAAAGTTTATGTGCAAGCAAAAAAAACACTACTGATACTGTTTTTAGAAGCAATGTATAAAACCTAAAAGGGTAAAGTCACTAAAATACCCAAATACATCCAAATTGTGAACTCACATTAGAAACAACAGATAATCAAATGAAAACATGAAACTAACAAAGACAGACAAAACAGCATGAAAATCACCCACAAACTTATCCAGTAGACCAACATCTAGTAGCAGCTGCCTCACAGCAACATTGCAACAGCAGCAGCCCAGCAAGTATAAGTATAATGCTCCCATTATAAGTATAAGCAAATCTTACTTTGTCCATAGTACAAGTATAATGCTCCCATAGATGAGTACAAAGCCACGCTCCACCCATTTGCCATAAAGCCCAAACAGCCTGACTTCGGTCAGGAGATGTTTTTGCCTATATATGTGACACCTGATGTGCAACCCAACCATTTGCTTCATAGTTCACCTGTAACATTCTGTGACTAAATAAAAACAATAGTACTTATAAAGAATATAGAATGCTTAAATAGAACAATTTGTCACGGAAAACACCAATCACAGAGTTCATCCTGGGTCTTAACCTACCTAACTACTTTGATGTACAAATTTTATATGCATACATACATATTTTATACTTATTCAGTCTTTCAAAAAAAAATAAAAAATACTAAGCTCCAAATGATGGCTTGCAGAAAACCAAATATACATATATACACAATACCACATGTGATCACACAAAATGAATAAAACAACAGTTCATAAGGACCATTAATGTTTGATAAGTGAAAGATATTCTTATTTCGGCAGTTTTACTTCCATTGACTGACAGAGACAAAATGTAATCAAATAAGGGCTTGTGGCACTCATGAAGGTTGCATGGAAGGGAGGGACAATAGTTCATTTGAAGATTAATATTCAAGTGTTGAGCGCCACTGGCGAGTTAAAAAGGAAAAGGTCACATTAGTAGATGCAAAAATACATATGCTTTTTTTATCAACAGGAAGCAGAGAAATTATGTTACATCAGAAGACTAATATAAAATGAAGTACAGATTGAAAGGCAATATTGCTGTTTTTATGGCTTAAAAATTCTATCTTTCCAACTCTCTCTCATCTCTCTTAGAAGCTAATTTCTTAAAGGGGAAGAAAAAAAGAAAGAAGATTTCACTATGCACTTGCATCAAGGAGAAAATTACAAGATACCATGCACACAGAGAGAGAGAGAGAGAGAGAGCTTACTCCCATGCTGGCTCAATATCCTTGTTCCATATTCCCTGCAAGTTTGCCACTTGAGTTCCAAGCCGTGAACATGAAATAAGTAGATATCAATCATACTGGAACAAAAGCTCCACTAAAGAGGGATCTTCATCAGTTTGAAAAGATTTCACTCTCTCTGCAGTTGAAACCATCTTATCTTCACTATTTTCTGAAAACAGATCAGTTGCAGAGGACAAATGTTTCTTCCTATCCAAACACCCATTTTCCCTAACATTCTTTGAGCTATTCGAAAGTTGCAGTGAGACGCGATGAAAAAGGTTTTGGTGCATCTGGGTTTGTGTAGTTTCCAGGAATCCCAGTCCAAAGTGTGTCCTCTGCCAAACGAATTCAAGTAATTTGCTGTCAGTTTCACTTTCATATTGAGAGAGAGAGAGAGAGTAGAACAGCAGTTAAATTTCACAAGTTTCATCAAACTTATCTTCATGACCTTGAATTTTAATATGGTATCATTGGGTCTCTGTTTGGGTGCTAATAAGATTATTGGAATAGCAGTAATATTAAATATTTGAGTTTTTTGTTTTACATGAATTGGGACCCCAGGAACAATGAACCTCTAGCCTACTTTCAACTATTTGGCTTATAAATTCTGAATGTTCAGAATCAACCATAACATGGGAGGGAAAAATTAGATTCAAACCTTTATTTCCTTCTTTCCTCTATTTCTAGCTATAAAACAGAGTTTCATCCAAAATAATAGATACATTAACACATCTAGGCCATGTTTAATTAGTAGGATTAATAGTGAGGAGATTAACAACCCATGTGATTAGTGTAGGATTAGTTATCCAATTGGATTAGTGGGATACATAATCCGCTCTTGTGCACGTTCGTTTTGCAATGGATATGGAAATATATAATCCCAATTATATGTTTGTTTTGCATTAGCAGTCTCTTCTTTGATTTCTTGCCTATCTTCTTTCATCTTCTATAGGAGACCTAGATTAGGTTCAATAAAAAATGATTCTATCATTTCTATATCTGCAATTCAATATAGATGAATACATACTACATATATATTTTTGTCCTTTTATCATTTTTTTCATGTAAGTTGTAGGATTCTATCGATTTTGTTAGATAGAATATCCATTGGAACCTAATCCGAATAACAAAAATTACAACCAAACACTAGAATGTGAATCCCAATAATTAAGAATTTCAATCATATGCTATAATCTGCCCAATAAGACAGGCCACTAATGTTTGAGCTATCCTCAACTACACCAAATACATTGAACTAATCTCAATTCAAGTCCAAGACATAAAAATACATTGAACTAATCTACTTTAACCATTTAAAGTTGAGTTTGGATCTTGGAATTATGAAGAGGAAAGCAAAAAAATGGGAAAAAAAAAATCTTGGATTTGTGGAGTGAACAGAAAAAGAAAGGAAAAATGAGAAGAAATTGAATATATATATATATATATAATTTCAGTTTCATTTTCCTTTCCCATGACAATGCAAGATCCAAACATAGCTTAAGGAATCCTCGTTTGGTATCATGCTATTTTAGTAATTTTTAATTTTTTAATTAAAATATGAAGTAAAAAATTATGTTTAGGATGACTTTTTTTTTTTAATTTTTTATGAAAAAATGTGAGAAAATTTGACTTTTTTATATAATTTGTCAAGTTTTTTAACTTTTTTTTTAATAAGTTTTAGGCTAAAAAGTGATGCTCATTCAGTGTAACATTGCTATCCATTTTATTATAAAAATACATGTAGGAAGGGTAAAGAACCAAAATGTCAAATGCTAAAATATTGAAGAACTCAAAACCCAAGATAAAGAACAAACTTCAAATCTTGAAAATAAACAATAATAGTATATCAAACAAGACTCAAAAGCACTATCATCTCTTCCCTTTCTATCATTTCTAGGCAACCAAACAACAACAGAGCAAATTGGGATATACTGTTACGTTTACCATTAAGATTGAGAGTCTCGAATTGAACACCGATATTTGTATATGTTTCAGACAGTAAGGGGAAACCATAACAGCATAACTTATTATGAAACTCCTACATCAAAGTCTGCATTTAGTCATAGGAACAAATCTGAGTGGCAGATGCTGATTTTTTTAAACCATTCTTAATTTAAAACCACATTGATTCAAGCTGACTGTCAAACCCACATTAATCTGGTTTATTCAGTTCATTTAGAATGATGCTCAGGAACAGAACACACCAATTATTTATTTATTTATTTATTGGGAAGGGACAAATAACTCAAGCACAATGTTCTTTCAATTCAATTCTCTACAAATCAAAGAAAAGGGTTTTACAAACCCACCAATAATTCATATATATATATATAATATACATGCACAACCAAAATCAAAATAACGCACAAAATGTGATAGCAAACACAATGTGTTTCTAAAAAATAAGCCTCGTAGCTAAAATTTTGGTGCCTAATGTGAGCCTATTAAGCAAACATAATGCTTCAGACAAAACTTCCGTGAAACTTGTGGGGTGACTGGAATCAGTGTTTATAAGTAAAAAGGAAGCAGTTCAGGACTAGAGAGACTAACCTCAGCTCTACTTGTGGGGGTATTTCCATAATCCCTTGCCCTTAAACCATTTTGCTTGCTTCTTATAGAGCCATTTTGATGTGTTTTAGATTTGCCCCACGTGTGTGTGAGATCTGGTCACGAGTGGACATGTCCCTATTGATCCCTGATCATCAATGAGCATTCTTAGTTTCTGTTGTTGCAAAGTACAGAAACCACTAGATAATGAAGCATAAGCATGCTAGTATTCTGATCCACTTACCCATTTTCTGAAATTCAACGTGGTTGGACTTGTTATGTGATTCATTAATATCCAAATCCTGTTCAATTTGATAGAGTTCCAAAAGATCAACACAAAAATATGTCAAGATGTATGCAATTATGAATTTCTAGAAAATTTTAAACATCACCATGGCATCAACGTCCAAGACTTTCTTGACTTCCATTAGTTTTTTCTCAGTCAGATCAGAATGGATCACACGTTTGCCTGTGACATTTAACGCCAAAAAGTTTTAAAAAGCATTTAAATTTTTTTTTAAAAAATAGAACTTAAAATTTGACTGAACATACCTAGCCTCCGGTTGCTTTTGGCATCAAGAAACCCATCATGCGTCGTTATCACCTTCATCAACCATGTCATCCATTATCATCACAATTCTACTGCTTATCTGTCAAAAGAACTAATGTCATTCACATTTCAAACTTCAAAGAATACTGGAAACACCTAATATGTAAACAAGCTGAAACAACCGAGCACAAAGACATGTAATTACCTATTGGCGCGACTATGTATTGGTTATCTTGCGAATGGCTAACCTAAAGTGGGTTACAAATAGACAAGTAGTTAACTAAACACTTGTTCTATATGGTAAATCAAGCTTTCAGCAGTTAGTGAACCTCATGGAGAACAAACAGTAACGAAATGTTAACACAGCACCTCACTGACAGATTCAGAATGCTCATCCCTTTGTACAAAATCAGCTCCCAAGCTCACATCATCGTCTTGAATGTCATCATTTTCATCTTCACAAGGATCAAGCATACTCTTAACCTGCATAATTTCCAATTACAAAACTCAAAATTTGAACAAGGGATCCAAGTGTCTCACTGTTCTTGCAATCTTGTATCTTTACCTTGAGAGCTAATACAAAATATTTATTGTTGACATTCCCAACCTCTGCGGTCACTTGTGCCCTTACATTGGTCTTGGAAGGTGAATGCATTCTACAAACCCACAAGGCCCATGGTAAATCATGGTAATTTTAAATCCTATTACTCAGGGTTGAACAAGTGCTTATTTAAGTTTGCCCATTATAAAACTATTTTTTGAAGTTTTAATCTCAACAAAAATCAAACATGCTATTTTGATAAGTTGGAAGGGTAATTCCAGAGGGATAATATGCGTATACATCACTTTCATGTATCCATAGAACAGCTGAAATTTGGAAACTGGCAGCTTCCTGTTCATCTACGAAAGCTATCATGATAAACTTCATATATTGAAACCAGATCTTTGAAAAAATATGAAATAGCCACCTTGGTTTAAAGCAGCCAATGATTACTATAATAGATCTGAGTATTTTATATTTTTTTTTATAGAATTAATAATTAGAATATTTATCAAAATTGCCAACATTTTGAAATACTTATGGTCAACTACAAAAAGTAGGGACAAAATAATGGAGAATCATGATAAATTTACTTCCACCTCAGATATTGGTAATTATAAGATACTCACATCGACGTCTTTTTGAAACTGCGGTGTATTTATTCATATGCAATCTCCATATGAGAAGTGACACAACAGTAGATAATATAACTACACCTGCAACTGTTCCTACTACAATGCCAGCTAGTGCCCCCTTGCTAATTCCAGATTTTGAAGTGGAAGAGGGGATCACTGCAATAGAAATAAAAGTAATAAGCACAAACCAATTCAATCCATCCTTGAATGCATACAAAAATTGGAAAGCATGACTATGCACTTCGTTGTTTAAAATGGCATAGGTCACTATTTGTGGCCGACTTTAAGATCAATGTAAACCACCACCCCCAGATAGATCATCCAACACCATGATCCAAGCATCATCCACTACAGTTCCAGCTAATAGGAGCATTAGCTAGGTTTTTTTTTTAATTTTTTATAGTGTGCAAACCATTCGTACTGCCACACCAGGGGTAAACATCACTAGTATACACATGGAGGGTAAACTAGCTACCCATATTTTCAACTAGAGCCCAAAAAAAACGTGACAACCTTCTCACAATGAAAGATATACAAAGACCATAACTAATAAGATCACTATATCTATTTCATCATATTCCTGAACAAAACATGTCAGATAAGACCTTCTTGAGCCTGTTGGTTTTGAGCATGACTCTTTGAACCTCAGGTCAAAGGTGCGAGGAGCTGCTGACAGATTGCTAAAAAACAAGAAACAAAAACATTTGTCAGATAAGGTTTAGAAGACAAACCATCTACATAAGGGAACCACAGAGGGAAATCAAGAAGTTCATAAGGTCCAAAAATTTCACTATCAGGAATATGCCATCCTATGAACATGCTCCGGATTTGTTAAACCTCGGTCGTATTGAAGATGTAAGAAGAGGTGTTGTCAACGTATACAGGAAAAATCTTCAAGTCCATTCTCAGTCGAGGGCCTTCTTCCTATAAAACAGAAACAATCTCAAGCTGAAAAATGTTCAATTTAAGACCTGTTGTGAGGTACATCTCAAATGGAACCCAGTACGGCTCAAAATATCTGAATCCAGGACTTTTCAACCAATATCCAATGATCAGAGGCACAGCACAGAAGCATGGTGAGTTTGGGGCATATTCATAAGGGCATTATTGCACCAGACAATTATCATTAGAGTTTGTTGCGCTTGGGGTATGACTGACAGTTTCATTTTCATTCTGAGGTCCACAGAACAGGACCAGGTTGGTATTCAAGCATATTGGATTTCCTTGAAGCCTGCAAAATTTTCAAATGAATAACAGAATAGGAATTTGATAACTCTTTGAACCTGCTAAATATGTCTTTATCTTACTTGAATGAATCTAAAAGGTAAAATTTTAGATTTTTACCAAGGAAACACATGCATATAAAGATATTTCATTGTGGATGAAGATGGAAAACAAACCTGACAGTGACATTTGCAGGGAGGCTAGCATTGCCAGAAATATTTGAAAGCATATTGTTCTGCAAAATTTCGTATTAGCTAATATATTTGAATTCATCTAAACCCAACAAAATTTCTGGGGTCAATTACAAATGCAAAAGCCTATGGTGTTAATACTTGTAATTTCGTATTTCCATCAAGGTTGAACTTTCTGTGAGTTGCTACAATGAAAGAAATAGTCAAAATCAACTGACATCCAAACCAGTAACTCAAATCATCGTTTGTAATATCTGTCATTTCTCTTCACATTGAAAAATTTTCAACCAAAATGGAAAAAACCCAAAAGCTGATTCCAAAAGTTATTCAATGGGCAAATTAAAATGGTAGTCTATGTACTTTGTTACTTCCTGTGTCATTTTACTCCCTATAATTTCAATTGACTCGATTTTAACCATGAATTTATCACTGTCTCAATTTGGTTCAATTGAGTTTTTTTTTTTTTTATAATTTTTTTATATGAAAAATAAACAAATAAGTGGCATGTGGGAAAAATTATAAACATGAGTTAAAAATACTAACGAGATGATCAATTGGACTAATAAATTCATTCAATTGAACACAATGACGTAAACGGTGCAGGGGGGAAATAGGTTAGAAATTGATAGTGTACCTTAGAAGTTGGATCGGTGGCTAACACAGACTGAGGAAAAACAGAAATCACTCGATTTGTTCCCATCGGCAACTTCGTTTTTTGTAAATTCAGACATTTTCCCCAGAATTTGAAGTGATATGCGACTTTCGAATCTGTGAATTTGCCTGAACTTGAAACAAATTGTAACCAGAAATGCAAGAGGAATTGATCTTACTTTGATGCTCTAGCACCACAAGAGCAAGCAAATTATGGTGAATCAAGTTATGGCCTATCGAATTGCTCATATTCTTCAGATTACGTTTAGAAACATAAATGGCATAATTTATTTGAACATATTGTGTCTTGTATCTTGGAGACCTCAGTCGCTCACCGCCGCTGCAGGCCGCTGCTACTCGTAGTCGCCGCCGATCAAAGGATGTAGGGCTAGGGTTTGGAGAGAGGAGTGAGTGAGAGATAGGTTTGGGAATCTAAAAAAAAAAATGAATTGTATCGTGTGTTGTGTGTGTGGGTTGCTCTACTACGGAATAAAAAAAAAATAAAAAAGGTCAAGGCCAGTTTGAATTTTTATGAATCAGAAAAGAGCCAGTTTGAATTTTTATGAATCAGAAAAGAGGAAATTGTTTTATATAAAATTAAAATTAAAAAAAAATACATACAATCACACTTATTTAGAAAATATGATTAAAAAAGAAGATATAATCATACTTATTTAAAAAGTGAGATTAAAAATAAATATTATCACACTCACCCAAATTAAGTGTGATTAAAATATCAATCTAATTTTTTTTTATCACACTTTCACTAAAAATGAGATATTTTCAATTGTCAAAGTGTGATCTTTAACTATTTTTGTGGTAGTGAAGAGTGAAATCGTGGAGATGGATGAGGGGAGATTTGATGAGGGAAAAAAAAGGAGGGAATTTTTAGAGGAAATTTGCCATTGCCCGATAATCCGATCACAACCAAAATAATAATGATAATAATAATTTCAAAACAATTTTTAGATTTGTTTTTTTGAAAAAATTAAAAATAATTTGAGAGCAATAAAAATCAAAATTATATTTTTAAAATTTTACCAAAGTGTTTATGAACTAAAAGATAAAAATATACAAAAATAATAAGTATTTTTTTTTCACACCAATTTTTTTTAGTTTTTTAGGGAAAAAAATTGAAGACTAGTTTCTGAAAATAAAACCAAACATATTGAAATTGATAATCTAACCATAGTCTTTGAAAAAGTTTAAATTATCTCAAATTAGTCATCTCAACTTAAGAGTGTGTTTGGGCTTAATGGGTTCATTTTGTGATCTAATTCACTAATCATTTTAA